TCGAGCGTTCTTCGAAGCTTTTAAGAATATGCCATATAACGAAAATTCCTTATACGATATCATGTATATTACGCAACCAACACGCAATATTATGAGCATACTTGGAATTTGGCCGTCCATTAACAAAAAGAAAACCTTGTGCAAAAGAGTTTACAAGTTTTTGCTAATTACTGTCTCTTAAACTCTTCTCATTTGCAACTTGATTCCCATTTTTCTCTATTGGATGATACAAGGAGACACGCGTACCCGTATTCAAATGGCCTCTTTTCTCGTTTATGAGGCTATGACTGTCAGCCAGTATAGCATCTTTATATTTCGTGATAATCAAATTAGACAGTGCTTGAAACACGTTCAAAAAGATTGGGAAAATATTCTCAGCGCTGATGTACGAACGCTGATGTTGAAATTCGCGAGAATTACCAAACGCATAATCATAGTGAGCGCGAGTTTCATATTTAGTGGTGCTGTTCTAATTCGGACAATCCTTCCTTTGTTATAAGGAAACATCATCACTGAACAAAACGTCACTATTAGACCTTTGGTCTGTCCAAGTTATCTCGTTTTTATCGATGTGCAAGCCACTCCTATCTACGAGATATACTTTACGATTCAATTTGTCAGTGGATTAATTATAGCGTCGATCGCGACAGGTGCGTGTGGTCTCACAGCCATTTTCGTGATCCACGCTTCCGGTCAGCTGAGGATTTTGAGAAATTTAATGACGAATCTTGTCGAGGAACAATGGCAAAAGGAATGCGAAGTAAATAAGAAATTGGCTGATATAGTCGAACACCAAATGCGAGTACGAGGGTGAGTTATAGCATAATATCACTAGTGTATATTATAGATTTGCATATTAATTTACTTATACAGGGTGTCTCACACTCCCCTTCAGGCATTTTGTGGGAACGTAGAACAGGTTGCGGTGAACATAAAAGTCCTATACCGTTTTGCGATATTCGCAATAATTATCGAGATATTAATTGTAGAAAATTTGTGAATGATCATGCAGAATATGGTAAATGAGTTATAGTAGCAACGACTGCCGTCGTGTACTTATACTTTAGGTCAAATTGAACAAAAAAGTCCTCTACCATTTTGCAAATAATCACATAGATTTTTAACTATTAATTAAAGAAGATGAGTGCATTATCACGCAAAATCGTGTAATAATCTAATTTAATTTATAATTAAAAATAGATAATTAGAAATTCATTATTTGTCAAACCTCTATGATATTAATAACTATTCATTTACTATTTATTTGTTTTCGATACGCTGTTATCTCACGTGTTATAATAATAAATTGCCGTCACCAGTAATTACATTTTAGTTTTTTGCGAATGGTACAGCACACTCTATACCAATATTTCTCACAGGAATGACGGTGAACACGCTAACTTTCTGCATTTTAATGTATTTTATAATAATTTCTATTAAAGTCTATTTCTGTATGTGTGTAAGAAATATAAAAAAGTGCACATATTTAGTTTGTAGAAAGAATTAAAAGCTATCAATGAAAACATCACATTTATAGGAATGGCAAAATAGCAATACAACAGCGATATACATTTATATATTGTGCGTTGGAGATGTTGCAGTTCATTTATTTATGTATTTTTATACAGGTAAACAACTTACCGAACAGGTAAGTTTTATAGGTGTTAATATCTTCAGTCATATAAAAAAGTGTTTCTTTTATTTAATGATATGGCTGATGATGGAAAGCTGACGACATATGACTTTGTAAGATAAATTGCACTTTATTTTGTAAAAGTTTCATAACAATTTATTACCTTAATTTTTTCACATAATTATTAATTATAATTCCATTCATGGAAATACATGTTTAATTATTATTTCTTATGTTTAATTTCATATATGTTTAATTATTCTTTCTAATGCCTATAATACATATGACTTATGAATATACGAATATATTGTGATGAGAATGTTACAATTAAATACGAAATACTTCAGAAAAGTACAACATATATATACGTCATGCGTCTTTTTTCGAAGTAGCGTCAATGAAAATACATTTAAACTTTATGTATACATTTATGTGCGTTCTATAATATTAATCATAGGCGGAGAAAGTGGCCATTGTATCTTGTGAGCTTGAATGGTATCGTCTTCCGAATAGAAAAGCACGTTGCGTCGTGCTGCTAATGATCATGTCTAATGTTCCAACCAAAATATCCGCTGGAAACTTTTTCGATCTCTCCCTTAAAACATTTGGTGATGTAAGGTAATGAACTTAAACTAAAGTATTCATTTATTTATAAATATTTACAAACAATTTTGTTCAATATTTTTATATGCTTTGAACAATATTAATTTTTTTTCTTTTTACATTCGGGTATGGAAGTTTCTCCTAGAACATATAACCATTAGTTCTATCGTGTTAATTTATTTTCCTTTGCAATTATTATATTTATATATGATAAATATCAGTGCCAATTAACGTTTCTTTATTTACAGATGTGACTGATAAACTTAGGTAAATTCTTTTTACTTCTATATAGCTTTTGCACTATATATATATATATATATATATATATATATATATATATATTTATGTCTAATTTGTAGGTTTTTGTTGAAAGCAAATTGAAGTAAGTCGCGTTACTGTTTTAGGCCATAAAAACAGCCGGAACTTATTTTAATATGTTCCGAAATGTTATCGACTGAAAGTTTTTAAATACTAATTGTCGAAGTTATAACGTGAGTCATACGTGTATCTCGGAGAAACATCGTTCAATGTACATACCAAAAAATATTAGTAGTATAAAAAAAATATCAGTAGTATATATTTATAAAATATATAAAATTAGTGCAGTATATAAATATATGCGATATGAAGTCTTCTCAACTGTACCTCTCTACCTCTATACCTCTATACTATACCTCTATACCTCTACTAGACCAATTTCTATCATCGTTCTATCATCGAGAAGTTACATATTGCCATCAATATTTCATCACGTGCACGCGTGACATCGCGTTCACCGCTAATACTTCTTCGCTGAACACTGACCCATTCATTGTTCTCGATAAGAATATTTCTGGTTTAATAAAACAAAGAGACTTCACATTATAAACAACCTTTACTCCACATATTTTTGAAAATATTGGACGCATGTTTTAATTGATTTATTTGACGTTAACTGTTAATAACTTGATTAAAGGAGTTTGTTTAATAATGTTTGAAGAATGTATATAATTTTTATATAAGTTTTATGTAAGATTAAAAATATATAAAAAATATTACAAGGAAAACAAAGAAATTTTAAATGGACGGTGTGCAAATTTCAGCTTTTCAAAGTTATCTAAAACAGAAAAGAAAAATTGCTTTTAATTCTTTATGGGTGCAGCTATCATTTAAACTATAACTGCGATTAAAAATATATAAATAATAAAATAACAATATTTAAAAAATATCGCCTATTTTCCACCGTGCTCTAATGTTCAATAAGAAATTTTAGTTATTAATAATTCTGATTGATTCTACATGTTTATATACTTGTGTTTAATCTGCTATCCCAGTATCATACAAAAATCATTTTTCTTATACAAATAAGCTGTTTTCTTCAATTTCTTTTTTCTTATAACTTCGTTAATTTTTGAGGTATCATAAAAATAGGTACATTTTTTTAGATCTAACTTTTGAAGAAAATGTAAAACACGTAAAAATGTAAAAAAATGTTGAAACTTTTGAAGATATTAAGTATACAACTTTGCTTCCGCCGTTTTCCTATAGATGGCTTTAGCGGTAAGTAGTGGTCGAAATAAATAGATGATAGACGTCATACAATAAACTTGGGCATCTGTCAACATAACCCCATAGAAATATTAGTCGATTTGTATCTGCATCATAAAGTTATTCTCGATTGAAAATGTCAGTTTACGAACCAAATTCTCGTCATTTGCGGGAGGTTTTAATTTTCTGCTTCAATATGAAGAAATCTGCGGCTGAGGCTCATCGAATGCTCTCAAATACTTATGTTGAGGCCGCTATTAGTGAAAGAACGTGTCGTGAGTAGTTTCAACGCTTCAAGAACGGTGATTTTGACGTCGAAGACCGGCATAGCGGTGGAAGAGAGAAGGTTTTCGAAGATGCAGAATTGGAGGCATTACTTGATCAAGACTCGTGTCAAAATCAAGAAGAATTGGCACGATCATTGGGAGTGACTCAACAAGCCATTTCAAAACGCCTCAAAGCCATGGGAATGATTCAGAAGCAAGGAAATTTGGTGCCGTACGAATTGAAGCCGAGAGATGTTGAACGGCGTTTGTTTGTGAACAGCTGCTTGAAAGGCAAAGACGGAAGGGATTTCTGTATCACATTGTGACTGGGGATGAAAAATGGGTTCATTACGATAACTCCAAGCACAGAAAATCATGGGGAGTTCCCGGCCATGCTTCCACGTCGACGGCCAAACCGAATATTCACGGCTCCAAGGTCATGCTCTGTATTTGGTGGGACCAACTCGGCGTAGTGTATTATGAGCTGTTAAAACCGATTGAAACAATCACAGGCGATCGGTATCGAACGCAATTGATGCGTTTGAGCCGAGCAAGACAAACGGCCGCAATACAACGAGAGATACGATAAAGTGATTTTGCAGCATGACAATGTTCGACCCCATGTTGCGAAAGTGGTCAAGACATACTTGGAAACGTTAAAATGGGAAGTCCTATTCCACCCGCCGTATTCTCCAGACGTTGCTCCCTCTGACTATCACTTGTTTCGATCAATGGCACACGGCCTGGCTGACTAGCACTTCCGGTCTTATGAAGAAGTTAAAAATTGGATCGATTCGCCTCAAAAGATGACCAGTTTTTTCGACGCGGGATTCGTACGCTGCCCGAAAGATGGGAGTAAGTAGTGGCCAGCGATGAACAATACTTTGAATCATAAATCATAAATCATAAATGTATAACCAGTTTTTTACAATAAAACCTCGAATTTCGGAAAAAAAATGGCGGAAGCAAAGTTGTACACCTAATACGAATAAGAAAATTTCTTCAAGACTTCCTGTATTACACTAATAATCAGCTGATTGAAAATAGGAGGAAGAAGTTAGAGTTAACAACATAAGTACGATCTTAAGTACCGACTTGGTACGATCCTTCTCGAATACGCCAAAGCTCAAGCATCGCACAGATTGAATATTTCTAAGAAATTTTAATTCAATAGAATAGTTTACTATTCTAGTTAGAATAGTTATTTACAGTATTATATAAAAAATTGCATTCAAGGTCAAAGGTTTATGATATCACACTATCACGTCATTAATAATTCTTCTTAGCAGAAAAACACGTTTCACAATTGCCGGTAGAAAAATGTTTTGCTCAGTATAACATAACATGTCCTTAATTGTTAGAAAGATCGATGAACGTTGGTAGACAAGAATAATCTTCAGGGAAAGCAATCCCAACCCTCGACTATCCACTCTGTTTTCAAACTTCCCCGCTCTCAAGTTTTCTTCCGCATGCAGTATTTGAATCTTTAATTCAACGCAAGCGCATGCGACAAGCAAGTTTACTTTACGATCGGCTTCACTTTTCAACGTTTAATCGTGATTTAGATCCCGTCTAGATTCCGCATTGTTCGTACTAGGATGTATTGAATAAAGCATGAGAATATCGCGGAGCGTTCTTCGAAGCTTCTAAAAAAATGCCACATAACTCTTTGTACGATATCATGTACATCACGCAACCAACGCATAATATTATGACTATACTTGGAATCTGGCCGTCCATTAACAGGGAGAAAACATTGTGCCAAAAAGTTTACAAATTCTTGTTAATTACCGTCTCTTACACTCTTCTCAGTTGCAACCTAATTCCCGGTTTCCTTTATTGGATGACACAAGGAGATGCGCGTACTCGTATTCAAATGATACCTTTTCTCATTTATGATGCTATGACTATTATCCAATACGTCATGTTTGTATTTCGTGATTGAATTAAATTAGACAGTGCTTGAAGCACGTTCAAGAAGATTGGAACAATATTCTCAACGCGGATATACGAAACATGATGTCAAAATTCGCGAGGATTGCCAAACGCCTAGTCACAGTGTGCGCGACTTTCATGTTCACCGGTGCCATTGTGTTTCGGACAATCCTTCCCTTGTCACAAGGAGACATCATCACCGAACAGAATGTTACTATTAGGCCTTTGGCCTGTCCAAGTTACCTCATTTTTATCGATGTGCAAGTCACTCCTATCTACGAGATATACTTTACGATTCAATTTGTCAGCGGATTAATTACAGCTTCGATTGCGACAGGTGCGTGCGGTCTCACAGCCATTTTCGTGATCCATGCTTCCGGCCAAATGAGAATTTTGAGAGATTTAATGACGACCCTTGTCGAGGAACAAAAAGAATACGAAGTGAATAAGAAATTGGCTGATATAGTCGAGCATCAAGTGCGAGTACGAGGGTGAGTTTGTATAGGGTGAGTATAGGGTGAGTATAGGCTATGTGCGGGATGAGTTTGTATATCATAAGGATATCACTAATGTATATGATAGACTTGTATATTAATTTATTTAATTTACTTAATGTGTGAGAGAATCAATTAGAAAATATCATTATTTATCCACCATTATTTGTGTATCTTTTACAATATTAATGATTTACTATTCATTCGATATACTGTGTTGTCGCTCGTGTTATAATAATAATTTGATGTTATCAGTAATTACGTTTTAGTTTTCTGCGAATGGTACACCACACGCTGCAAGAAGTATTCCTCATGGAAATGATGGTGAATACTATAACTCTCTGCATTGTTATGTATTTTATAATCATTGTAAGTTTAAAAATTTTTTTCAGGAAGCATATATATTTTATATATTCGCGCGTGTTTTTAAAAAAAATGAAAAACTCTACCAACAAAAATGTCATATTTATAGAAATGGCAGAGTAACAACACACCAGGGGTATGCGTTTACATGTTATGCGTTGGAAATCTAGTACTACATTTATTTATGTATTGTTACACCGGTGAACAACTTATCGAACAGGTAAATTTTATAGGCGTTAACACGTTCAATCATATAAAAAAGTAATTTTTTATTTAATATAATCAACGATAAAAAACTAATGATATACAACTTTGAAAAATAAATTGCAATCTATTTTACAAAAGTTCTTTAGCAATTTATAATTTTTATTTTTTTATATAGATATTAATTATAATTCCATATCGTGGAAGTATACATTTAATTATTATTTCATATAATGCATATAATACGTGATTTATAAATATACGAGTATATTTTAATTAAATACAAAATACACTTCCCCAAAATAGCATAACATATACGTACACTATGTACTTTTTTCAAAGTAGCATCGATGAAAATGTAATGTATTCAGACTTTGTGGACATCTATGTTCTATAATATTAAACCTAGGCGGAGAAAGTGGTTACTGTAACTTGCGAGCTTGAATGGTGTACATATATGAATCTGGTATTAGATTTAACAATTAGTTACATATATTATTTTTAAACTATGACAGAATTTGAGTCGCTTATTTTGTAAGTTCGTTTTAGTTGATAATTTTTTAATGTCGCATACGTTTTGATAACTAGATGTTGATGGCTTAATATAATATTTTCATCCTCCATTTTCTGTACATCTTTCTCAATCTTCCATTCTCGATTCTCATATCCTCGATTACAGAAATAAATTCAGCTGGTTATATTTCGAAGCACATTAAAATATGCCGCAGACGTTTCAAGAATCTGAAAAAAATAATTATTAATTAATTATTAATGATATATCTGAAAAAAATTTATAATTAATTATATCTAATCTGTAATTCGTATTTCAGAAATAAACCAATATTGCATTAGTAAGATTAATTTGAAATCATACATACACGCACACAAACGCATATAAATAATCTACTTAAAGAAGTTAACTTCATATTTAAGATATTAATAGTTATAGAAGCAACAAATGCATATACATATATACACGGTGTCTTACACTCTCCTCCGTATTTTGTGAGGACGTAGAATGGGTTGATGTGAAGATAAAAGTCCCATACCGTTTTGCGAAATTCGTAATAATAGAGATCTCGACATGGTGCGGCAAGACGTAGGAGCGCAGCGGTATAAGTATAGGCAGTGGTGCATTGTCTTCCAATCACCGCGCGCGACATCCGCGCCCTATATTACTGGACCGCGCTGTGACTCGAGCGGTCTGTCCTCTACCGTTGAGCGTGTTTTTTCTTAATCTTTTTTAATTAATATCTCGACTATTATTGCGAATTTCGCAAAACGGTGTAGGACTTTTATGTTCACATCCAAAATGTCCGGAGGAGAGTGTGAGACACCCTGTATATATATATATATA